CAAACGGATTCAATTGAGATTTTGGGAACATTCAAAAGCGATATTTTCTGTAAAGATTCAAGGGTAAGCTGTGTCGATGAGTTTACCGTAGTTGAAGGTCCAGGAAAAGTTTTACTTGGAAAGAATACAGCTGAGAAATTAAATGTTCTTAGAGTGGGACTTCCACGTTCTCCACAAGTCTACTCAGTTGCATATGAAAGCAGTGATAAAGATATTATGAATGATTTTAAAGAAATTTTCTCAGGAGTGGGAAAACTAAAGGATTTCCAGATTAAATTGCACATTAAAGATGATGTGAAACCAGTAGCACAACCAGTAAGAAGATTACCGTTTGGTCTCAGAGCAAAAGTGGACAAAAAGCTTAATGAGTTATTAGAAGAAGATATTATTGAAGAAGTACCAAGTGGCCCTACCGGTTGGATATCACCTCTTGTTGTCGTACCAAAACCGGACGGTGATATTCGTATTTGTGTCGATATGAGGCGAGCGAACGAAGATATTGAAAGGGAGCGTCATCCAATCCCCACTATAGAGGAAGTCTTATACGAGTTAAATGGATTAACAGTCTACAGTAAATTAGATTTGAAATGGAGATTTCATCAAGTCGAGCTTGAAGAGTCATCGCGTCGTATCACCACATTTTTAACGCATAGTGGACTATATAGATACAAGAGGTTGATGTTTGGAATAACCTCAGCACCCGAGATGTACCAGAAGATAGTCAAGGATGTATTAATTGGTTGCAAAGGAGTTGCCAACATTGCGGATGACTTGATCATCCATGGACGGGGAATTGAAGAGCACGACAAGAATTTGGTAGCTGTACTTAATCGTTTACGGGAGTGTGGATTAACCCTAAATGCAAACAAGTGTCAGTTTCGACTTCCAAAGTTGACATTTTTTGGTCATGATCTTAGTTGTGATGGTGTTTCGCCAAACGAAGAGAAGGTGGCAGCAGTAAGAGATGCCAAACTCCCAAAGAATGCTGCAGAAGTTAGATCTTTCCTAGGCTTAGTGCAGTACTGTGCCAAGTTCCTACCTGATTTTGCACAAGTGGCAGAACCAATCAGAAAATTAACTAGAAAGAATCAACAATTTGAATGGGGAAAAGCTCAACAGCAGTCTTTTTCAACATTGAAAGATCTTTTAACTCAGGCCGAGACGCTTGCTTACTTCAAGAACGATTGTGAAACACACATTATTGCTGATGCTGGTCTTACAGGGATTGGAGTGGTTCTCGCACAGTTACAGGGTGATTCATGGAGAGTAATTTCGTATGAATCTAGGAACCTCACTGTCGTCGAAAGGAGGTATTCCCAAACGGAGAAAGAAGGTCTTGCGTTGGTGTGGGCATGTGAGAGATTCAAGTTGTATGTTTATGGTCGTAAATTTGAGCTAGAGACGGACCACAAGCCCTTACAGTATATATACAACACATCGTGTAAGCCGTCTGCACGACTCGAAAGATGGGTTCTTCGGCTACAAGGTTATCACTTCAAGGTTGTCTATCGGCCGGGAAAAACTAACATAGCTGATGCTTTGTCTAGGTTAAATTCGAAAGTTCCTAAAGATCACAGTGGCGAAACTGTGGATGTTGTTCGAATTATCGCGCAAGAAAGTACACCGGTGGCATTAACAGCTAAAGAAGTTGAAAGAGAATCGGAGAAGGATCCTGAAATTGTAAGTGTTAGACATTATAATCGTACAGGAAATTGGTCTGAATGTAAAATGCCATATTATTCGAGTGTAAAGAACGAAGTTTGCATTTTTGGCCAGCTGGTTATGCGTGGAACAAGACTAGTGATACCAGAAGCTCTTAGAAATGAAGTGTTGCGTTTAGCACATGAAGGGCACCAGGGCATAGTGAAGATGAAAAACAGATTAAATTAAGGAGTAAAGTTTGGTGGCCTAAAATGGACGGTGATGCAGAACGCATATGCAAGAGATGCCATGGCTGTCAAGTGGTTGGAGATTTTAGAGCACCTGAATCGATGCATTGAAGTGTTAACACCGATTTTTGCGCGATACGGTTATCCATTTACTCTTAAGTCCGACAACGGAGCTCAATTCGTATCGGAGGAATTTGAGGATTTCCTAACTGAAAGTGGAATCCAACACCGTAAGTCTCCACCTCTTTGGCCTCAAGCCAATGGGGAAGTAGAGCGTCAGAACAGAACTCTATTAAAATCGCTGAAGGTAGCTCATGTGGAAAATAAGAAGTGGAAGGATGAACTTAACATGTTCCTGTTGGCATATCGAACCACTCCTCGCGGCAGTACAGGAGTATCTCCTGCGTTCATGATGTTGGAAGAGAACTGAAGACTAAACTTCCCGAGTTACGTCCTGATAAAAACATTTTGGATGAAAGCATTAGAGATCGTGACTGGAATAAAAAGGTGGCAGGGAAAGAGTATGCTGACAAACATCGACAAGCCAACCAGAATCCAATTAACCCAGGTGAGAAGGTCCTTCTTAAAAATTCCAAAACATCTGGAAAACTGGATCCAAAGTTTCAAACCAAACCATACATTGTTCAAACTAAAGAAGGACAGGAACTAACTGTCAAGTCGGACGAAGGTGTAGTGTACAGGCGAAACAATTCATTTGTGAAACCCTATCAAGAACCAGGAGTGCAAGAAACCCGGTTGCGGAGTCTGAAAGATCTGAAGATACAGCAGTATCACCTACGAACGAAGGTAATCCTGTTGCAGTGCCGATAAGCAGACCATCCCGAGTGAGAAAATTACCAGACAAGTTCAAGGATTTTGTGTTGAACACTGTAAGATAACTTTAGATTTTTATATAGTATAAGTATATAACTGAACTTCGTGCGAGTATAAAACTTCATTAATTTCGAACAGTTGATAACATATAAAAGTACTTTAAAGTTCATATTTCGTATTTACAGATGGTAGGTTTTGTTTGTACAAAGGAAGGGAATGTAGTGTTTACTATATTGTTGTAACATGAAGTATAAAAAAGATTAGGAATCCAAGATGGCGTTTTAGTAAATATACGGGTTCAGTAAATTGTTTATGTTTAATCGAGTTCAATCTGTTGTTTTATCGGGATACATACTACAAGTTGGGTGGTTAGCAAGCTATTTGGGTTACAATCCATGTAATTAGCGTTTGTTAGTTTTTGGGCTAGGTTGATAGTGGGGGTGGGCATGCATGTAATTAACACGTGTGAAGCTTTATAGTAGTTAAGTAAAGTTTAGAAAAAAATGTAAATAACTTTAGTTCATGAAACCAAGTGGGGGTGTTTCGCAATGTTTTCATGTTGTTCATATTACGTCATATCCTATGAGAAGAGCATCATGGGATCGGAGAACACTGATACCTCATGTGTGTGTCTCGTATTATGTTATGTAAACCCCCCCCCTCCCCCAAAAAAAAACCCCTTTATAAAACTTATAATATATAATAAAATATACCGAAATAAACCAAATGATTTTTTTTTCTGTGTTGGTGTTGTGTACTCAGGTGAATAATATGTTTGCGATGTTACTCTGAGTGCATATCCACACCGGGCGAGCTTGAAGCTATCCACACCGGGCGAGCTAGTAGTATTCCAAAGGTCGTAGGTTCGAATCCCACCGTGGCCGGGCATATTTTTCAAGCTCGCCCAGTGTGGATAAGCACTCAGAGTAACATCGCAAACCAAATGAGTTCAACAATAAGCGCTTTAATAAACTGATTATTACCAATTTTACAATTTGCGCGCCGCCATTTCATAGCAACAGAAATGTTGCCAGAATGTCGTAAAGGAAATTAGCCAATACGAAAATTTAAAATTTGATTCAATAGTACTGACACAGAATAAAGAATTACTGAATCGAGATAGACTTCTGCTAGTAATAGTATTGTCTATTCCGTCCGAGCTCTGTCTGGCCCGTGTATGTAAATATCTAAAACCACTTTGAGATAAGTTCAGAGGCATACAGCGCACTCAAATTTATAATAGCATGACATGATGACACAGAAAGTATTAAGAAACCAAAATTTCACATGTATATCAAGTACAGTAAATACGTCGTCGAGTCAACAAACAGTCGTTTAGTCACCAAACCAAGAAGAATCTCAATTCGCGATAACTATAACAAACCAAGTAGAATCTCAATTCGCGATAACTGCCAGGCAATTGCAGAATCAGAAAGCAAGTACTCTATGCGCAGTTTAGCAAAACTTAGCTTATTCAAAATAATATCTTGATTATTTAATATCGACACAAAATCACTAAATAATGTACAAAAAGTGTGAATACCATGCCTTGAAAAATATTCACACAATATTCAAACGTATTCTATAGGTAAGAATATGAGGTGCGTTTTCTTCTAAGGTATTCACATTTGAATGCTACTAGCCTAATATTCCAAGAACATTCGCAGAGAATATTAGAGAATGCGTGTGAATATTCATCATATTCAAATTGATATTCAAATAATCTAGGCACAGTTAACAAATTTTGACTGCTGGAGCGCCAAGTACGGGCAGGGATATGACGACGAAGTAGATCGGTGATGTATGAAGGGGCAATGCCATTAAGAGCTTTATAGGTCACCAAAAGAAGTTTGAAAGTCACTCGTTGTTGCACAGGAAGCCAGTGGAGATTAGAAAGTACCGGTGTTATATGCGCAGATTTCCTTTCTCTGACGACTAATCTGGCAGCAGTGTTTTGTAGCCTTTGCAACTTCTGTAATTCACAAGAAGGAAGGCCGTAGAGCACGCCATTGCAATTGTCAAGTATGGATGAAATAAAAGCATGAACAAGACTTTCGGTGTCCTTTCGTGAAAGATATTTTTTTATTTTGCCAATTTGATGTATTGATTGTGAAGCCAAACGACATATGTTATTAATATGCACTTTGAAATTAAGGCAGAAATTGAGTGTAACTCCTAGATCCTTTACTTTGTTTACGGGTTGTACATCATGCCCTCCTACTTTGATGGGACGAAGAGGACAATCAGGTTTCATGTAACGTGAATAAAAATGAATTACTTCCGTTTTTGATGGATTGCCCATAAGCATATTGCAAGTGATCCAATTCATAACGTCGTCAATACAGGCTTCCAACTTTTCAGTTGCGATAATGCGGTTATTACGATTCAGAAAAATATAAAGTTGAGAATCATCAGCATACATCATGGCATCTATTCCATGGGACATAATCACATCTTCGAGGGAAGCAATGTACAAAGAGAACAACAATGGTCCCAAAACATATCCTTGCGGAACCCCACAGCTAGCGAAACACGGTCGTGAAGAAACATTATCTACGACCACGCGCTGAGGGCGATCACAGAGGTAAGACTTTAGCCAATCCAGAACTACCCCCGAAAGACCATAACGATTACACAGCCTGTCAAGCAAAATGTCGTGATCAATTGTGTCGTGATCAATTGTGTTGCAAATATCAATAAAAGGTAGGAATCCCGCATGAATGAATAGGCGGATTGCCAGAATCTCATTATTTTCCAATTATAAGCAATATATTGGTCAAATTTCGCGCAAAAGCATCAGAATTGTTTAGGTTTTGTCCGGGACTCAGTAAATAGTCACAGACTAAGAATATTTCACTTTGCTAGCTCTAGAACGTGTTAGACACAGATTTTTCCAAATTCTTAAAATCAGCATTTTAAACAGCAATAACTAAAAACGTTGTTGCCAACATCATGAATTATCACCCTTATGTTTTATTTACACCTTGAATGTTTTAAAAGATACAATTTGCTCACTATATAATTGGTTCTTTACCTTTCGATCAACCTAATAAATCATTTATAAATCCTTCGCTTGAGGGATTCGGTAAAACATTACACTGGGTGATAATATTTCACTCCGGACAAAGCCCTTCGATCGGGTTATACTTTTCTGATTCCCCAAACAAAGGGTCTTTAGATGATAAAATTTACGTCTTATATCTTCTCTATCGTATTCACTTACACCACTGACAAATCATGAAGAAAAAAGCCACGTGCTCGGTCCGTTCCACTAAGATCGGTCAAAGTTACAGAATAACGAATATTTTCTGAAAGCTGTGAATGATTTTATCAATGATAACTCTTTGATAAATCATTCACAGCTTTCTGAAATATTCTGTGAGATATATCAAAAAATTGTTTCCAAGATCATTTCGATTCTCCTGACATCTTTCAATGACTCAATCGCTCTAAAGTTAAACCTAAAATGTAAGGATCTTTATAAGGTCAGTTCTCTGTTACTAAATAACTTACCTTACATTGTGAAACTGCAATCTTTCAGCCACAATTAATAATGAAAGTAAATATCAAACGGTCAAAAAAAATTGTTAAATACATTTTATTGCATTGATACAACTAAAGGCTTATCAGCAATTTCTTTCTTGTTTGTTGATACTGCACGGTTTTGTAATTGACTTGATCATTGTTGGTCCTGTGCTTGACGTGATCCTTATAGTTTTATTCAGCTAATCTTATAGGTACAAGATTAATTTTTTTTGCAACTCAACCTGTATTCAGGCTATGACTTCACTATGGGGTAAACATGATGCAAAAACAGGATTTGTTTTGTTCTTGTTATATGGAACCATATTGTGTAGCACTATTTCTTGAACTAAATAAATTTTACAAATTGCTATATATATTAATAAAATACAAGAAGTTGTGTTGAGCCGAACCATAAAAGCGTTGGCCTCGTACTATTTTGTGTTGGGTTTGAAAACTACAGTATGATAAAATATGACAGTCAAAGAAATGCGAACTAGCTAGCACAGTACAGGTTAAGGACCGCGCATAATGTACTGTATAACTTAACAAACACAGTCGGGCAGTGTAGGTTAAGGACCGCACATAATATTACATAACTTGACAAACACAATCGGGGGCAGACTTCTAAGTTGTTAAGATTTTTCATGTATATAAGCAGTTGATTTTTAAGATAATTTTATATCTTTTGGCAATCAGTTGACTAGCCATTAATAAGTACTAAAAATGTCAATGTTTAAATTAAGCTACGGATGTTGTACAGTATATACAGGAAACATTATTGCTCTAATTATTACACTGGCCTGTAAGGCCAAGTGTCTTAAATCCTCCTTTTCAGTCTGTTTTTTACGTAGTCGAGAAATCGAGTTTGCGTTAGCTCATCGCAGGCTCTGGGTGCAACGATTAAGGCAAAACGCCATCGATTCCCTCGGTTCCATGACTTAGATAGTATAGTAATAAGCTCGTATATATGTACGTAATAGCCGACTCATGCCATGCTTGTGGTACATTTTTCGTCTATTAGCCTATACACTTGTACGCACGCGCACAATTCCGAACTGCAATGGCGGCTTTTCACAGAGTGATCAAACAATATTTTACACAGTTTCGTTGAATTTTCAAAGAATTATGCCCGTTTTCTATGTATTTACGTTGTGTCGTACTCTGGACTTTCTTGCGTGTTGAATTAATGTGTTTTTCTTTGTGTAATGACTCGAAAACCACAAAATATAATATTTAGTACTCCACGAAATATAATCCGCGCGAAAAGCTTTGTGTCAGCTATACTAAAGATAAAGCGTGCGTTCTAGCCCGCGTGCAGGCCCAAGGGAACTGATAGTGGGCCTGCAAGCAAGGCCCGGTATTTTGTACTTTCCGCGTTCGCCCACGAACGCGGCATTCTGATTGGCTGTTTGCTGTTGTATTCTATAATTAGGTCAGTGATTCATCACAAAGTTTTCACAAAGGCTCTCGATAAGCTCAAAATTCGAAAATTGATCACTTTTTTCGAAAATTGATCACATTATAAATGGAACAAGAACAGACTGTTTATTGTTTACTTGAAGGAAGAGATGTTTTGCCGTTATGCCAGTGGGGATTGCTTGTCGTGAAGTGTTGGAATAGCAACATTACGACTGGGGTAAACTATAGCATAAACCTTTACTTGAGTTTCATTAATTTCAAACAGACTTGATGCGTTATATGTTCCTCAAGAATATTATCTTTTGGTTGATGTTGAGATGCAGTTGCATGTAAGCCTATTCGAAACACTTTGCGATTTACAAGGCTTCGCTGAGAGAGCGAAACACGGAAACAGAAGACGGTATTAAATTGCCATTTGAAACGAAACGATCTGGACTCTGAACGCTCTCTTCTTTTGTAGAGTTCTTTACCAAATGAAATAACTGAAATAAATTCCGTACTTTCCGCCGCCAACAAGAATTGCACACACGATCTGATAAGTGAGACAATTTATTTATAACAATGCCACTGACGACAGCGAAGCACACATAATATAAATGCTAATGTTGTCGCACGACTTCCCTCACGATTTGAAGTTTGAGACTGGTTTTCTGTTGAAATTCGTCCTAATTTGCCTGTTCCGATTTTAGTTGAAAATGAGCACTTGCAAATTTGGCAATTACTGACTGCGTTGCTTGCTTTTTTGAGTTAAAACGCTGCCATTTACACATTGTTTACGTTCTGAATAAGCAGAGAAAACCCCGCAACATTTTAATGCGAGTTTGTTTGTTAATATTTGGGTGCTGTCATTGGTTCTTTTTTGACAATTGACGCGCGAATGGGGCGTGTTATGAAAAGGGGCATTTTACAAAATACCGGGCCTTGCTTGCAGACCCACTATCAGTTCCCTTGGGCCTGCACGCGGGCTACGTGCGTTCAAAATACCAACAAGAACTAGAACCATTATGGTATCATTTGTATGGTTCTCATTTGCTAGACTTGCCACAAGTCGACCTCGAAGAAACGCATTTCGTTCGAGGTCGACTTGTGGCAAGTCTACTCATTTACAATAACATTAGTTCGACGCGAATTTTAATACAAGTATGGTATCATATTTCATAATACAACAAACAATGTAAACTAGCCATACATTTTGCCGAACATAACTTCGGCCCCTTTGGACATATCTTTTTCGTGATAATGTTATTGGAACCAGAATCGAAAACACTTTTTATAGTGTTATTTTCAAGCTTGTGTCATGAGATTTTCATCTTTTATTTCGGTATTTACAGAACATTTATATTTTTAGCGCGGCCCATGGAACGCACATGAAAACAACGCGCTGTTAGGAAAAACCGGAAATCGATTCTGTAGGTCGGCATGATTTGCACGTGCATCGATCTCCATTACGTCTCCCGAAAAGGTCTTTTATTTTGGATTTTTTTCTGTGTTGGTGTAGTGTACTCAGGTGAATATGATATTTGTGGTGTTACTCTGAGTGTATATCCACACCGGGCGAGCTTGAAAAATATACACGGCCACGGTGGGATTCGAACCTACGACCTTTGGAATACTAGCCCAATGCTCTTCCAACTGAGCTACGCGGTCAGGACGGTTCGAGTAAGTGATATTTATTTTTTAAAAAATCCATAAAACTTGCTTGCGGTTTAAAATTTGTATTCCTGCCTTTTGCACAATAGCACGTATCTCGTTATTTTCAGGCCAGTGTAATGAATTAGCTTATGTATGTATATGAGCATAACAGAAAGGTGAAACTTAAATTTATGGGTGGTGTTTACAATATACAGTAAAGTTAATAATCAAGACCCTTTAAATGGAAATGCCCCTAGATGCCCCCTACTTTGTTATTCTACTCTGTCTAACGCTAGACAATTTTACACGTTAGGGAAAATACTATCATTCAAACAACAATAAATAATTAATTTTGTGTTTTTAGGATCACACAAGAGGTTTTTGATAATACTTTTATTTTAGCTACGTTTCGGATAGTTTACTATCCGTCCTTAGGCTAACAAATTGTTCTTACATTTGACGTGTACAACTTTTAAACGTTCATCTCACGCAATCTAATTTAAATTAAACTGCGTGTGCGCACGCGCGCGCTCGTTTTCCTTAATAAAGTATTTGTTTAGTATTGGTCTCCAAGTCATCAATGATTCAAAACTGTTTAATACTTTCTTTTTGTTATGCCTTACCCTAAAAGACTCTATTCCTTCTATAACTTTCCGCTGTCTTAATCTATACTCATTTCTCAATATTCGCGTGTTCGTCCAGTCTATTTATTCCGTACACTCTATACTGTGCCTTGCTAAACCTCCGTCTTCTTTCCCCATTCGTTCTTCTGCCACCGCCATTCGTCCATTCCTCATATCCTCGTTTGTTAATCTTACTTTGCTCTCGTGTTCCTTCTTTCTCACCTTAAACAACCTCGACGTTCCTCCTACATACACCGCTTTCTTGCACTTGCATGGGATTTCGTAAACAACAGATTTTTGGTTTTCGCCAAGTGGTTGTTGAGTTCTCGCCTTCAATTCCTTTATTTTATTTCCTGGTTTAAATGTCGTCCGAATTGAATGTTTGGAAGCTAATCTTTTCAGTTGTTCCGATAAGCCCTGGATGTAAGGTACAATTATCATTCCTCGATGCTCTTGCTCTTCCGACTCATTCCTTTCGCGTTTATCCTCTCGCATGTATTCCCGAACCTTCTGTCTTCCGAAACCATTTGCCGCAAACACATCTTCTGCGTTCTTTAGTTCTTCCTTTTGGTGTTTCTCATCACATAACGCTCGCGCTCTGTCTGCAAATCCTTTGATGATGCCTTTTTTCATACAAGGAGGATGATTCGATTTCGCTTTCACATTGATGTTGGTGTGTGTCTTCTTATAATGAACCATACACTCGAATTGTTTCGTTTTCCGGTCCACTTTTTGTTTCAAATCCAGTACTGGCAACGTATCTTCTACCTGATTTTCTTTCATGAATACAATCACGTATTAAATAAAAGTATTATAAAAAACCTCTTGTGTGATCCTTGATTTAAATTAAAAACACAAAATTATTTAATATGAACAGAGGCGAAAGTTTCAGAAAAGCAAACAGTAAATAATATTTCATGAAGTTGAGACAAAAGATTTGTGCATGTTGAAGTACAGTTCATCATCAAATGAAGGTGTTCTTTTTTTAATTTTTGGCTTTGAAGTTTGCCAGGATTCCCGACCATCATATCTTGACAGACTATGATCACACTGAAGCCTCTGTATGATAAAAATCAGCATTTTAAACAGCAATAAGTAAAAAAGTTGTTGCCGCTTGGTGACAACATCATGAATTATCGCCCCTATGCATGTTTTATTTACACCTTCAATGTTCCAAAGGGTACAATTAACTCACTATATAATTGCTTCTTTAACTTTCAGCGTAATATATAATTTATAAATCCTTCGTGCGAGGAATTCGGCAAAACACTACACTCGGTGATACTATTTCACACCGGACGAAGCCCTTCGATTAAGTTATACTTTTCCGAATCCCCAAACGAAGGGTCTTTATAGATGATAAAATGTACGTTATGTACGTTTGGTGTATTCACTTACACCACTAACAAATCATGAAGAAAAAAGCCCCGTGCTCTGTCGGTTTCACTAAGATTGGTCAAAGTTACAGGATAACGAATATTTTCTGAAAGCTGTGAATGATTTTATCAATGATAACTCCTTGATAAATCATTCACAGCTTTCTGAAATATACTGTGAGATACATCAAAAAATTTGTTTCCAGGATCATTTAAAGGTACGATTTGGATTCTCCTGACATTTCTCAATTGGTCTAATGTTAAACCTAAAATGTAAGGATTTTTATAAGGTCAGTTCTCTGTTACTAAATACCTTACCATACATTTTTGAACTGCAATCTTTACAATCATAATGAAACTATATATCAAATGGTTAAGAAGAACTGTTAATTAAATACATTTTATTGCATTGATACAACTAAAAGCTTATCAGAAATTTCTTTCTTGTTTGTTGACACTACATGGTTTTGTAATTGACTAGATCGTTAGTTTTGTTGAATCGGAATGTACGTGTTATCGTAATGTTCTACTACATATGCCTCTATAGGAAGAAAACATTAGCGAAGCGAACAAAGATTTGCCTATGCAAGGTCCTTAATTGGCAATTGCAGGACATGCGTTCATTATTATATGAACAGAGGGTAAATAAAAGAAAAATGGCAGAAACTTAATTCATCTCCTATACAAACCCACAAAAATCCAACACATATTATGCTTAAAAGAGTTATATGCATGTGCGGATATAAAAGCCAAAGACAAAAATTTCCACAATAATTGGCACAAAATGTAAGCTATTTTGGAACAGCAAATTGGGATTTTATTCTTAAAATCAGCGTGAAAGCGCAAAAGTTGTTGCCGTTTGTGACAAGTGACAACATCATGAATTATCACCCTTATGTTTTAATTACACCTCCAATGTTGCGAAGGATACAATTTGCAAACTATATAATTGGTTCTTTAACTTTCGATCAGCCTAATACACTACGTCCCAGGATTATATGCAAATAAGTTTTTTTGTAATAACTCAAGGAATATTTAACGAAACTCAATGAAATTTTGTAGGGAGTATCCAAACACTCTTGCCTGTACAGATAGAAACTTTTGATGCAATCCGCGCATTAGTAAACAAATGGCGGTAATTTTGTTTCATACTTGCAGAAATCACTGTACCAGGTTATATGAAAATACCCCAAAACATCATGTAAGAGTACAATTCAATGCAGAAAGTCAACAAAATGAGCATTCTAGATGTATTTAATGTCAAACAAACATAAATACAAATGAAAAGACTTCATTTTAATTTTATTACACAACTAACACCTTACATAAATGCCCCTTTTAAATATCACCGAAAAAGCCTTCGGTCCATCATAGACGTCAAGTTCTTGATTTCATTCGAAGAAACCTCTTTGGTAGCAGTCACAATAGCATCCCAAAGGTTATTTTTAGTGTGATATTGCTTTCCAGCAGAATAGATCTTCCTCTTGATGATGCTTCACAGATTCTCTATCGGGTTTAAATCCGGAAAACATGGTGGTCATTCCATAATCTTACCATATCTGGCAAACACACGGTTTAAATACTCGGTAGTAAGCCTTGCTGCATGCTGTGATCCGACGTAGCATTATCATGCATGTAAACAAACTTTTTCCAGAATGCCAAGCTTTGAGATTTATGCCATGGAAGGAAGTTTTATTTCAGGAAATCAACACAAACACTAGCATTCTTTTTTACATCTCCCTAACTCTGAAAGGCCTAACAAGGTCACTGCCAATAATCCCGGCCCAAAACATCACACCACCACCTCCTTGCTGACGCCTTAGTAGATGAGGCCGCCCGTGCTCCTGGGAGAACCAGCCTCTTCTCCAGCCATCCGGTCTATCGAGGGTAGCTCTGCGTTCATCGGTAAAAAAAACTGTTCAAATAGTTGCTTCATGTACTTCTGGGCCCACTGAAGCCGTCCCTTGATGTGTCTGTCCTTCAAAGGAGGTCGAATGTCTGCTTTTCCACATTTGGCAACATTCTTCAAAATACGGCACCTTGAGGTTTTTGATATACCAAGAACACCAGCTCCCTTGAACACGTGCTTACTGGTCTGGAGAGGGTTGCAACGGACTTCTCTCTTTATAAGCTGGATATCTCGCTGCGACACGCACGATTTTTTCGCATTTTTCTCTTGTCTGATCGACCATTACACGAATCGGAGTTTCTGGCAAATTTTCTGCCTGTACGATGATCTCGGCATAACATTTAGCGATTGCCAAGGTGGACTGCTTCGCGTGCAGCCCTTGTATGATTTTTGATTTCTCAACTTCTGTTAAAGCTCCTTTGCGGCCCATCTTGCATATAAACTGGTACAGTTATCTCTGCAAGTATGCAATAAAATGGCCGCCATTTGTTTATTAATATGCGCGTATTACATTAAAAGTTTCTATCTGCACAGGCAAGAGTGTTTGGATACTCCATACATAATTTCATTGAGTTTCGTTAAATATTCCTTGAGTTATCACAAAAAAGCTGATTTGCATTTTATCCTGGGACGTAGTATATATCATTTATAAATCCTTCGTTTGAGGGATTTGGACAAACATTTAGTTTAGGACCTGTATATGAGATTGTTTGCGATTCATTTAGGACCGGTAATCTCAACTGTTTTAGGGTAAAATGACCACAGCGGTCAACATGGCATATGTGCGAAAACTTGAATCCAGGACGAAAGTCCTGAAAATGACCCCGCCCTGAAACGGCAGTGTCGACATAGCTGTAACTTCCGAAAAGGAAAAGCGACAGCCTTTCTGAAGTGCTTATAGTGTTCAGAAGGGCTGCTTTCAGGGGTGGTCATTGGAAGGAAATATTTGTCAAAGTATAATATTTTACCAGAAAATGACTATGCACCACCCCAGGTAAATTGCTGATTATGCACAAAATAACTAATATGCCTGGCAGAAATTAAATTTTCTTATTTCCTAAAAAAATTATCATGGGATGAAAAACTACGCTTAGTTCAATATAACTATTGTGGATTTCTTAAGGATTGTAATTGTTTTCTTATAGTAATTTGATATTTCAATGCATATTTAACTGCTAGAGTTCTTGTGAGTTGTGTTCCGGCGGGTTGGAGCCTTAAATTGCTGGAGAACAGAACAGCAGAACTGTATGTGAGTATTTGTATGTATATTGCGATTTGAGGGCAAACATGTCGGCAAATCTAAGATTGTCTTGGATTGGTGATCATGAAAGCTTGAAAGAATTCGTAAGGGACAATCTTATCCTACAGGGAACGTGGTCATCGCCAGCCGGTGAAAAGAAACTTTTTGAGTCGGAGGGTCTTACGATTCTCTGGTTAAAAAACAAGACGTTCCTTGCAGTTAATGGAAAGGACGCGAACGAAATTCGTAGTCGACTGATCAAAGCTATGTGTACGAGCATTGACTTTGCAGGCGTGAATTCTAGCGTAGACAGGGCTACAAACACTGAGAATTTTGTTCATGATAATATATCTATAAACCACGGCGAAGTCATGCTTCATGACCTTCCTACTTCAGCGGGACAAGCGCCGTCCAGTGTTCAAATTGATAGCACAGAGCACATGGAAAACGGCTTTAAAACTGAACAGGTGATAAACAGCAAGACTGTTCGCTCGTTGGCTGAATCCGTTGAGCGGCTTGCCTCAATAGTAGCTGAAATTCAATGATTTATCCAAATTTGCTGATGATATTGCAATAATAGCACAGTTTATGATTACGAAGATTCAGCTGGGGATGAAGTAGAAAATATGAAGCTATGGTCAAACGAGAATAGAATGTCTTTAAACATGGAGAATACCTATGAAATGATAGTTCGCGGAAAAGTGTCTACTCCCCCTCTGGATCGCATCCCATCCATAAAACGGAAAGAATGGCTTAAATTATTGGGTGTCACGATGGAAGACATACTTGGTAAATGGGATAAACATTTCGAAGAGATGATGAAAAAAGCTAGTAGAAGAATGTATATTCTAAGGGTTTGTAAACACTACGGGCTCTCTACACATCAATTGGATCTTCTCTTCAATAGTCTTATTGTCTCTCTTTTCACCTTTGCAGTCGAAGTTTGGGGTGGAGCATCGTACAACAAATATGCAAGTCAAATTGATAAGCTTGTCAATCGTGCCTAAAGAAATGGTTATACAAGCAACAGATCAGATTTTAAACAGATCAGATTTTATTATTATTATTATTATTATTATTATTATTATTATTATTATTATTATTATTATTATTATCATCACCCTACTTGATCTTAAGAATGCCTTCGGCGAAATCCATCACAACCTCATTCAATCCGTACTTGACTACCACCATATCCCTGATCATATAAAATTTGTTATAAAAAGTTTATATACTGATTTCCAAACCTCGATAATTACCTCAGAATTCCGCACTCCTTTTATGACAGTTGGCCGTGGCGTATTGCAAGGAGATTGCCTCAGTCCTCTTCTTTTTAACATGTGTTTCAATACATTCATTCAGCATATCAAGGCTGAAAAGTACCGTCAATTTGGGTTTTCCTTCAAATTACTAAATCCTATCCATTGGTTCCAGTTTGCTGATGACGCGGCTGTAATTACTGGCCAAGAATCCGAAAACCAACATCTATTAAATCGATTTTCTATCTGGTGCCAATGGTCCGATATGATTATCCGAGTTGACAAATGCAGTACCTTTGGCATTAAAAAAGCGATCACAAAATCAGTTCAGTACTTGCCAAAACTCCTCATCAGCAATCAACTAATACCAAAAATCACCATTGGAGAATCATTTCAATATTTAGGACGTTACTTTGATTTCCACATGTCGAATGATAATCACAAAACTGAACTAACCACCCTACTTAATGAACTAATGTCTGATATTGACTCAAAGCCACTACACCCCAAAAATAAACTGCTCCTCTACAGTCGCTACGTCTTGTCCAAGTTAGCCTGGCACTTCACCGTTGCAACACTCTCTAAAACATGGGTTACTGAAAATATCGACTCTATTGCCAACAAATATATCCGCAGATGGCTTGAAGTACCAATATCAGGAACACTAAGTACTGTCTTTCTAACAAATAATAAATTTGGCCTGAGTATTTATCCTCCATCTGTAAAATTTATCCAGTGTCAAACAGTCCTCCGAAAAGCTTTAAAATCTTCTCCTAATGAGTCAACTAACGACCTGTGGAGAGCAACCAGTAACCATACTAATATCCAATATGACACTTATAACTCTACTAAGGAAGTTCTCAAAGATTTCCGTTCTGGACACGAAAACAAACTCCTAAACCAATTAACCAGTCAAGGATCCTTTTTCTGCAGCGTCACGAAGTTCGCTTTACCTCAGCTTAGCAAGGTGTGGTCCGTCGCCCAATCAAAGCTCCCAAAAAACATTTACAACTTTACCATTCGTTACATTAACAACTCTCTTCCGACGCGTAAAAACCTAAACAGATGGGCAATATCTTCAAATTCAGACTGTTCTTTTTGTCTTAGCCCTGAAACATTACTACACATAGTAGCTGGATGTCAGTTTTATCTCGACCGATTTACGTGGTGATACGTTTATCTCGACCGATTTACGTACTTACTGGTGATACGTATCGCCCAGATTTGTTATTATCGTGCTCAAATGGTTCCTTATATGTGGTTGAACTCACCACTGGTTATGAGACAAACCTCAAAAACAACGTAAAACGGAAGAAGGATAAATATAGAGAATTATTGAGACAGCTAGGTAAAAATTTTAACCAAGTTAAATTTATAAACCTCTCCATCAGCTCTTTAGGTATTTTTGCAGAAGAATGTCATACATTTTTAGACATGTTAGATAGTATTGGTCTTGACAAAAACCACCAAATGTACTGCGTTAGGAAAATGATGACTATTGCTATTAGAACTACATATTACATTTTTTGCTGCCGAAATAAGGAATGGGAAAATCCGGATTTACTAACAATTTGACTTATCTCATTGTATATATATACTGCATGCACTTTGTTCTGTTATTTTAGTTTAGTATAATTGTGATTCAAATAGCCAACCGTAAGTTACCTTTATGAGAGAGATTTACGATTGTATATGTATGTAAAGAAAAACATTTAATAAAGTTTCCATTATTATTATTATTATTATTATTATTATTATTATTTGGTGTTTAATTACACATTTTCGCATAAACAATGAATTACAATGTGTTTACATTCAAAGTCAAATTTAGTTTATAGTTATTTACACGGTCATAAAATTTAAGGTAAAATAGGTTACGAATATTATTAATATATAAGTTAAGATCGAATAGTAAGTTAAGAATATTGTTAAAATTTAATCATTTAATCTAAGGTAGGTTCCTTTCTCTATTTCATGGCATTCAGTTCAACAATTGCTCTTGGAAAGAAACTGTTTTTTAAAGCGTTCAGTTCTGCATTTATACAATGACAGATTATTTAAGTTTCTAATATAATATTGTTGAGCACAAGCTCTGGATTGTGTCACGTGTTCAACAAGAGAATATCTTGTAAACGCTGATATCTTGGTGAATATTTAATTAAATCGTTTGCATGACCTAGCAAGATTAAAGTTAGCATTTTATGAATAAGGCTACATTTATATGAGCGACGTAGCTCTTATAGTTTTTTCGCTATAGTAGAGCGAACGCCTGAACTTTTTTGCGCCACCCGCACGCTTACTGCTTGCATTTTGAGCACTGTGGCGTGGTTTGATGTCCAACATTCGTATGTCCAACATATTACAGAGTGAACAATATCACAACATAACATAACACTTGCAGAACTAGTATTGTTCGATGCTGAATTAATATAAACGAGTATGCCGACATTCAATTATTGCTCATAATTTACAGTTTTAAATCCGTCTGACTGTGTAGCTCTGTTGAAACAAAGAATGAGTTTGAGAAATTTGCTTCTGTGTAATCGTGCAGCTGCAATCGCTTGTATTTTTTTTGTTATATCTTGTATTTCTTGTAAATAGTTAATTTCTTGTAAATAGGTCATTTCACGCCACTCATGGAAACCAGCCTTCCAACGGCTGTTGGGGCTAGCGTGCATGTTTAAATAAAGTTTTGTATGTATGTGTATGTAGAGCGTCGATCTAGTAATTCTAGTTATTCGAAGGTCGCAGATTCAAAACCCAGCCGCGGCAGGTAACTTTCTGCTTGCGCGGTCTGGAAATTATGAAATACATATATAATATTAAATTTATGATACAAACACGATTTAATTATTATAAATTATATCATTCAGCGAAGATTTTCTTTACTTAAAAATAATGTAATGTTTTGCATTTTCATTTGTTTACACTTATTTCAGTAGCCTGGTATACTGGACGGTTAAATTCCGCCAGCTAATACAGCCAATGAAATTGCAGGAAATTAAGGCTAGGATTCCGCCCATCCGAGTTGACAAATAAAAATAAGTTAGCTTATCTTATAAATTATCCTGGGTGATTTGTTCTCGAGGCCATCCTGTGTAAATACGTACGGAAGTAAAGCGAGCATATACCATTGAAATGAATATAACTGGAACGCTATACCCTGAGATAGAGAGCCTATCTTTTTCTCTGAGTCAAATCTGACTCCACGCGTGTCTGGGAGTCAAAACACGCGCGTCAGTTTACGGACTGAAATGGCAATTCAAATGGCAAGATTTACATTTATACCTCATAATATTTAATAACCAATTTTTCTTTTGTAAATTAATCTTTTCTATATGTTTGTATATTTCAAATTACTTTAAAGGTAGGATAGTCCGTATGTAAGCAAAGCCTTTGTTTACATTTCGGTATTCAAAATATTGAACTTTATTCGGCAAATGTTTATAGTTTCATGCTTCTACAGGATAATAAATGATCAAGATACAACAACCAGGCTTTGCAAAAACATAAAATGAAATAGAAACCTAATTAAAGTGTTTATATCACGGCAGAAGACTCCAATGTCCGCATGCGCAGACCAGACTGTACCCTATCTTTAACTTATAAATATCGTTGTTATATTTGTGGTGTTACTCTGAGTACATATCCACACCGGGCGAGCTTGAAAAATATGCCCGGCCACGGTGGGATTCGAACCTACGACCTTTGGAATAGTAGCCCAATGCTCTTCCAACTGAGCTACGCGGTCAGGACGGTTCGAGTAAGTGATATTTCGGAACAGAATCTAGTTCCTTCGATACCAATGTTTTCTAGTAATATGAATTTTTTTTCTGTGTTGGTGTAGTGTACTCAGGTGAATATGATATTTGTGGTGTTACTCTGAGTGCATATCCACACCGGGCGAGCTTGAAAAATATGCCCGACCACGGTGGGATTCGAACCTACGACCTTTGGAATACTAGCCCAAT